AGCGCCCGGCCTTTTTACCTGCCCGCGCGTCATCCCCCAGGAGTTGTCCTCTGTGTGCACTTGCAGGTGTCGGAAAGTCTTCGCTTGTTCACCTCTTGTGCCAAAACCAGGTGTTGGGAAACCCCTCCTGGACGGTGGGCTGCTCGGTGGATGTTCGAGTAGGTGACGGGCCCGACCTCTTGGTAGCCCCAGCTTGAACCGTGAGGGAAGGGAAGGACCTTGGGTTTTTGTTTCGTTTCATTACTTGCTGCCCCAGGAAGAGCTGTGTTTTGATGTTCGGTTTTGCTGAGGGCTTAATCTTTTGAAGCGAATGGTACTAAACGTGAGCCAAGCACTGGAGCGAGCAGATTTTGACCTTCCAAGGTTGTCAAAATCAGGCAAGATACTTGGTATTCGTAGCGCTTCTCCTTACTGCAGTGGCCGCTGGCATGTTACGAGTCACTGAGTCGCTGGTTTAAGTCAGACCAGAAGACGCAGAATTTAAACCACCCTTCCCTGAGAAACAGTTAATGCACAGCTAAATTGTCAGCCAAGCATACTGGGGAAAACAATTTGCTTGTTTAATTTGAGGGTGCCAACTGCGACCATAGGGTTCTTTCTCCTCCTGTCTGCTTGTTGCAGGACCTACTATCAGAAGAATGAGGATATTCATCTAGCAGTTTTTTGGCCCAACCTACAGTCCTCATGGGATGGTGATAAACACTTCATCGCTCTTTGCCTCGTTCTTGAAATGCATTGCCGTGGGTTAGGAATATATTTCTAAAATTTGGGGAAGGAAACACGGCAGCCCCATTTGACTGGAGCAAAACTACCTAGCAGATCCAGGGGTAAAAATTGTTGATTGATTAATTCAGTTGAGATGTCAGTGAGAATTTGGAGAGGAAAAAGATGTGGTCAGTTGGAGTCCGATGTGGTCACCGCTGTTAATATTCTTGCAGTACTGCCATGTGGGTTTTAAAAACTGGAAGAAGGCATGACCTTACTTTTTCATCTGCTTTAGCAACATGCTGTTTCTAAGCACATTATGAGACATTAGATTTGTTAGTACTGAGGTGTAAAGGATACTCCCTGCTGACTCGCCAAGCTCCATCTCATAGGAGAGCTGTGGTATCCAGTGGCCACTGCTTGACTCATTTCATGTGTCTTCTATTCAAGAGATTTGAAATGGTGTCAACATGAGAATTTCCAAGTTTCTGTCCGAGTACAATAATCTTTTCAGCTGAATGCGTAGGTGTTGTGTGGATGAACTCCTGTGAGCTGATGCTGTGGTTATGTATGATGTGAATTTTTCGTCAGATCCATGACTACAAAGAAGGGACTCCAGAAGAGAAGACCTACTACATTGAGCTGTGGGATGTTGGAGGTTCAGTGGGTAGTGCCACTAGTGTGAAAAGCACACGAGCAGTATTTTATAACTTGCTGAACGGTAAGTTTGCTTGGTATAGATCGAGTTTTGGTGAAAATCTGGTTTTGTCACCCATTCTGTTACGAGCTGTCTCTTCATTTGGGGGCAGGTTTCCTTTGAGTCTGGCTGAGGGCCATGTTCTCTTTTCTGTTTTCAGTACATTTATACAGGAAAAAAACCTGATACCATTCGTAGGCAAAATATTATGGATTCAGTTTTGAACTGGAAAGCTATTTTAGGCAAACCTGTGCAGATGAGCTTCATCAGCCTTTCGCTTCAGTCTTGTGCAGCTGGCACAACAGGGAGCCCTTGAAGTTGCAGTGGTGTTCCTTCCAGCTACACTTGCAGACATAAAGGTTGCCTTCACCTGCCTGGGCCTGATATACATGCAGAAATATTATTTATATTTTCCTCTCTGTTCAGTTCCAAAACAGGGAAATAATTAGTTGGGTTTATATGAACTTCCATAGTTATAACCTACCCTGGCAAATTTGAACTGTTCTCCCATAAAATTGCAATACGCTGATAATCATCTTGCCTCTGCTCATTTAATTTGCCAAATTATTTTTAAGAATTGAATCTTGCAACTTGCTGTACATAGAAAGTAGTATTTTATGCCTTATGTTGAGATAACGAATTAAAGGCCTAGTAGTTCGTCTGTACCACTAATAAGAGCAAATGAGAGATTATAAACTTAACAATGCTGTATTTCAATTGTTTCTTTTTGGCACCCAAGGATAGTTCACTAAAAATAGATGTATACCATGTTAACAACTGCTTCTGAAAAAATCTGTCTCAAATGTTCTGTTTGATTCTCCTCTCTTGTTAACAATCATTTGAGGGCCTTTCAGGAATGTGTTAAGCCATACAATAAACATTTTTGCTCTGTGATTATTTAACTGGGTATTTCTTCCTCCTTTCCCAGGAGGAAAGCTGTGTGTAGGTACCTCTTGCTTATATTGTTAAGTAGACTTCTGTAAATAAGGTGTGAGTTGAGTTGTACCCTCAAAGCAAGCCTCTTCGGTATATGAAAAAAAATTTATTTCTTTTTGACACCAAATCCACAGTATGCCAATGAGTGTGGGCCAGACTTGGAAATACCCTAGAATAGACCATTAGGAGATGAAATCTTGAGCTTATGTGTCTGAATTATAATTGATGACGTTATTAAAATAGTTATTTATCTCCACTGCCCAAAAGATATTATTAGGCAGGTTGCATATGAAAACCGTTGACTTTGGTAGTTAGCCTTGGCTCTGGTTTCTTTCATTAGATTAATTCTTTCATTAGAGCTTGTCTCACAAATTGCCTCTGTTTGACCTGATTTAAGAAGAGAAGATGAATGCATTCCTTCTGCCTGACTGCTTGTGCTTTCTGGGCTTGCAGTGGTCTGAAAACCCGAGATCAGGAGACAGTTGGTGTTTGGTTGTGGCAGCATCTGTGCAGGCTGTCAGGGAGACCTGGTTGTTGATGAGGTTAGGTACGGTTTGCTTTTGGTTTGACCGCAGCTCTTCTGCTTTGGTGACCCCGCATCTGGTGCGTGGACTGTGATAGCCTAGGAGAGTGACTAGGCAGTCAGGCTGTGGCTTGCAGACCTTAATGGGGGAGGAGCATTTCCTTGAGTAGTCACTGATCCTGCCTGCGCTTTTTTGATGTTGACACAGTCTTTTTCTGCTGGTGCAGCTAACTGTGTAGGTTTTCAGTGAAGCAGATAAGGGAACTGACCAATCAAAAACGTAACTGAGGAAGAGTGTCTGGAGGTGGAGAGTGTTTATCGCAGATTACGCAGCAGTGCCTCTGAATCTGTTGCCGTAGGCCAAGTTATGTTGTATCAGGCTTTTTCTCCCTATGCCGGTGGAGGGCACACAGTTGAGTTGCCTTTTTATGCTGTTACTGAGATAAATGCTTTGAAATAGGGCTATGGTTGTGATACGCTGGGACCTGTCATAGGAGAGTCTGCACAGTCGTGCAGGTTAGTGGAAAATGTTTGTGGAAAAGCGCTTTGTTCATAGTGTGAACAGTGGGTGGCACCTTTGGGAGTTAAGATGAAGAATTAAATTAATAGGTTTTCTCCACTTGTAGGATGCAAAGTGTGTTGAGAATGAATCCTGATATAGATAAGGGGTGTATACTCCATTTTGTGCTTGAATTAATGTTGATTTGAAGTCTGGAGGAAGTGGGAATATTCCACAGGTTGCAGAAGGTGTGAATAAATAGAAGAAATTTGCTAACAGGCGTTGGTAATTGAGTTAGGAACTGGATATCAGAAGTGGGTGTCTGTAATAGCACAGCTAGGAAGTTTGGCTGGCTGTTTTTCTGTCTCAAAATTTACATTTTGAAGGATCATGGTAATGAGAAATGCTAGAAGCTTAATCTTAAATACGTGAAATCTTATTAATTCATGTTTCTACCAGACATTTGGTGGACTGTGAATGTTTATCAGAGTTTGTTTCCCCTTTGGATACCTCCCCAAGCATGTAGCATTAGTTCTTGAAAATGCAGGAAAGCAATAGTGCTCTCTAAACTCTTTGAAACAAAGAAACAGCCTTTAGACTTCTCAGATGGTGTGACAAAGAGATAGTTATGTTTATCAATTGGGTAGAACAGAGGAAGGCTAAATTCTCTGCTACGGTAATACAGAGTTTCAGTATCGTTAGGACTAGATAGAGCAGCATCAGGGAATGCCTGCAAGCCTCTTGCAGATTAAACCCTGAGGTGCCTGTTTGTTTCCTCCTTTCATGAGATTTTTCTCTTAGCTCTTATCCAGTTCCTGATAAGCAGCTTTAAAAAACCTGTTGCATCCTGATAGTTTCAGCTTTACTCATTCACTGTAACTGAACCGGTTATACATCCGTTTCTCCATTCTCAGATATCTTGGAACCTGCAGATGTCATTTTGCTAAGATAAGGAAAAAAATATATATCATTAAATAGCATCTTGCTGCCTTCTCTTTCACTTTAGGCATAATTTTAGTGCATGACTTAACGAACAAGAAATCATCTCAGAATTTGTATCGCTGGTCTTTGGAAGCACTCAACAGAGATGTCGCTCCAACAGGAGTGCTTGTGACAAATGGGTGAGTGAAAAACATATGTGCAGCGTTAAGACACAATAATTCCAAGCTGTTATGAAAGTCTTTGTTCATCCCTAGGGCTACTTGAAGTCCACATGAAATTAGATGTGGCTAGACTTTTAATAAAGAAAGAAAAAAGTCGAGGTTCATCAAACAAAATCACTGTTCTTTTTATTTTACACTACCAATCAGGCCATTCTGCCAGTAGATTCCCAAACTGTATGGCAGAGACCTTGCTTTAAGGGAAGAGATGTTTACCATGTCCTTCATTTGTCTGAGGCCTCTGTGAGAGTAGGTCCAGTCCCTGATGCCTGAAGGCATGTGTGTCTGTACTGAGATGTGCAAAGCCATTTTACAGAAAGTGTCATGGGATGACATGTCTCTCTTCCAAAAGGCTTTCTGTCCATGCACCAAGACCAAGGAAGTTCACTTAATTATTTTTTTGTTCTGTGTGGTGGTGGAATTATTTCAGGAGTGTGGCTAAAAGAAGAGCTTAGAAAACTCTGCTTAAACAGCATGTTCATAATAGCTTTCCAACATCTCATCAAGTATTTCCTTCTGTACCTCCGTGCTCCTGTTATACGTGTAGTCAAGGAGGTTTTAAGATCATTGATAAACCTCACACATGAGCAGGGAAGCAATAATAAGGGGTAGTTTTTTTGGCAAGAACATAAATTGCTTTTCTGCCTGTGCTGGTACGCTGGTGTTTTCTGTAGAAACATGGGAGAAGGGAA